AGGGAAGTGAACAGAGCTCAGGGCTAGGGGTCCCCCTCTCAGGTCCCAGAAGCCCATTCCTCTGCCTCGAGGCTGAATGCCTGCACAGAAACAATAAGGACTTCTAAAGGGCTAAAAATGTCAGGGCTGTGAACTGTTTGGGAGAATACTATGTTCCCCTCTTGGAGATTTCCAATGTACGATTTCAGAGCAAGGAAACCTGATTTCCCTCAAGTAATAAAGAAGAAAATCCTATAGCTTCATGAGAATTCACATTCCAGTTTTTCACATTCAAGAAATATATCCTTCTTGGACCAATGAATTTCATTGTAGCTGACACCTATTAGTAAGCAGGTCATGAAACCAATTTAGTGGGTCATGTCCAGCATAAAAAAAAAAAAAAACCAGAACAGAATAAAATAAAAAGAAAACAGAGTACTTTGCATATAGTAGTACATGTACTGATCTGTGATACTTCCGTTTCAGTTGTATGCGTATGTATGTACTGAGTTATTATCCAAAATATATATCAGTGTGATTCATGGTCAAAGAAGTTTGAAGAGCCCTGTGCTAGAGAAGAAAATCCCTTCTTTTGCATGGGAAGGCGGCCTCGAACCAGAAAGTTGAAGCCCCTTGCCTTGGGTCTCTCCTACTTGCCCAATCTCAGAGTTGAGCCTCTTAGAGTGAAGGCTTCTAGCGGGCAGGGTCTTTGTCACCCTGTCAAGGGCTGATGCAGATATATAAAGATCAACGGTTAAGCCCCTTGTGACCAGGACGAAGTAGACCACTGACCTGCCGTGGGGGCAGTGGGTTACCGATGGGGACAGGGATGAACTGGTGGCTTGTGGACATGAAGTGCACGTACTTCTGCTCCAGCTTCACTGTCACGCCTATGAAATTTAGCTGGAAATAGAGAGCTCATGAGTAGCATCCTCCCCTGGGAGGAAATGAAGCACCTAGGAGAGTGATCCAGCCCCCAGCTGCCTGGGAGACACAGTTCTCCGCTCTTCTCTCAGTTGTCCAGGGCAGGACCAGAGCTGGGGCCTTACCAGGATCTCCCGGCCGTGGGACACCTTGAAGAGCACAGGGAGGCGATCGGTGCCAACAAACAGGTGGCTGGAAGGGAGGAGACAAGTCCGAGATGAGTTACGGAACCCCAGGACAAGTGGGAGAACAAATGGTCAGACCTGTGGTTTTGAGCCCGCTAGCCCCTAAGAGTATGTGGAAGCCCCTGAGTTGGGACAGCATGGGGCAAATTAAATTTCCCCTGCAGGTCTTCCCAAGGTGGTATCCACTCAGGGTGACATGGAGTCACACAGTGCATGGCCAGCCTCCTCCAGGAGCTAGGGGAAAGGGGGAGTCTCTAGGACTGGAAGTGCAGGGCGCGTGGGGTGGGGGAGCACCTGTATTTGAACTCCACGGCCTGCTCCTGCCCAGGGCTCAGGCTCCCAGCCTTGGGGTTGATGGAGAATATGCAATTGTCCTGCACGCGCATTTGGTGCAGCTCAGTGCAGTCAAACTCTGCTCGCTCTGCCCATAGCTCCAGGTCGATCTGCTGGTCACTTGGAAAGAGGAAGGCCCTGGGAAAGGGTGAAAAGCAGGAGGAGAGAAGTCTCTCAGTCAGAACAGAGAGGCAGGAGCTGGAAACCTCCGTGCCTCTCCATTTCATCTCCCCATTTGGCAAGCTGTCCCATGAATGGCTGAGCAAACTTGACTGTTGTGGATTCTCATTTCACAGTAGCCCCTAAACCCAGGAACCGAACCAGGGCTGTGGTGACTAAACAGGAAGTGGGGTCACTTATATATGTGGGAGCTGGCCATTAACTCTGGAGAAGTTTCTTTGACAAAACATATGAGGCACCTAGGAATGCCAGCAGCAGCAGCTAGGGCCCTGAGAGAGAGAGTGTGCAGGTCAGCTTGGGCACAAGGTGGAGAACACATGCCCCAGCAGGTCTGGTGCTCTGGAATCTGAAGCATAGCTGGGCATAGATCAATGCCCCTGAAATGCCTTGTAATGTAGCAAAGTACACATTGCACTCTAAGTAGCTGACCAAATGGGTGATAAAGGGGTCCCAAGACCACAATCTGAAAAGGAAGACCCTTTCACTCTCGGAGAGCTGGCACAGAGATGGCCCCAAACTGGGCAGAGGCTATGAACAGGGAGCAGTCAGAGGGAAAAGAAAAATGGCCAACACATCTGGAAAGCAAATCAAAACCCCCTTGAATCAATCTTAAATATTTTCACATTGAAAATGTGAAAAAGACAGAACAGAGATACCAGAAAAAAAAAAAAAGTATATGTGGATACCTAATATATGACCTAATATATAATATAATGGTATTAGCAAAGCAAAATGACTTTTCAATAAATATTGCCTGCATAATTCGCTAAACATATAGTAAGTAAGTAAGTAAGTAAATAAATAAATAAATAAAATTCTCCTTTATTACACAACAGAAAGTAAGTCTACAATTCTAGGTGGGTTAAATAATTAACTGAAAGAAAAACTTGTAGAAAACAATTAGTAGGATATATTTGTGCTTTCAGAGTAGGTAAAGAGAAACAGATAAATTATAATTTACATTTAAAGACCTGCTTAGCAAAATTTGCCATTAAGAAAGTAAGCAGAAGTTACGTATCATAGATGATATTTTCAACACAAATAGCTGGATCAGTAGTTATTACAAAAAAGAAGAAAAAACACCTAGAAAACCTGTTCTAAATCATTAAGCAAATAAACCCCAACCACCTGATTTTAAAAATTACCAAAATTACTGAGCAGGCACTATGTAAAAGATAAAATAACTATTCCATAAAAAATATAATAAATACTAATCCTCATTTGTGTCCAGATAACTCAACTTGACAGCCAATACAAACAAAACACAAAACAAAAAAAAGTTAGCAAATTTGTGGACAGTGGCCTGATTATATACTACTGATGAGTGTAAAAAAAATTACCTCTAATGCTGGTAAGTTTAGAAAGAAGAGACACCCTCACACATAGATAGGTGGAGAACACATGCCCCAGCAGGTCTGGTGTAGGGAGAGAAGGAACTGCTACCACCTTTTGGTGTACGAATTTAGAATAAAAAAAATGTATATGCACTTTGACTCAGAAATTTTATTTTGGGGAAGTAACCTGCAGGAATAAATGCATGTGTATGCACACACACACGGATGTTTACTACAACTTTCTTTGTAGTGGCAAAACCAAACCAAACAACACACTGGGAACAACTAATGTCATCCAATAAAGAAGCGATTCAATAACTTATGGGCCATTCATGTTACGGAATACTATGCAACAATCAGAATGAGTTGAAACTGTGTGTATTGATCTGAAGGGAACATTATTGGTTTAATGCTGAGTGAAAAATGTTACTGATGTAACCCTGAGCAGAAAGTAATATGTACAGTATTGTATCAATACTATAAAAAAATAAAATAAAAGAGAAACAGAATAACCCTGTCACCGTGTCTGCAGGTCTATATGTTGTACAAATGCTAAGAGCGGAGGCACGCTCCAAACCCTCATCACCCTAGCAGGGTGGACTTGGAGAGGGAGCTGGGGAGCGTTTTTTTTTTTTTTTCCCATCACCTTTTTATTGTTTGACTTGTTACAGGTGAATAAAATGCTTTTGTTGTTTTATCTGGGGATATTGATCAGCAAGCAGCAAAAGTGGAGATCTTGCTATTTTGGGGTCAACCAGATAGTTGAAGCACCTCCATCTCCCTCACTGTCCTCACCCAGTCTCCCTCCAAATACTCCCGAGCCCCTTTCCCCTGCTAGTCCTCGCGTGTGGCTCCCCATCTGGGCACTGCAGCAGTCTTCCCACCTGTCCCCCTGCCTCAAGCTGCTAATCAGTTTCTCCCCCCACACCCCAGACCAGAGTGCCAGGTCTTGAAAGTAGATCATGTCTTTGCCCCCCATCTCAGAAGGAGTATCCCAAGGCCTAGACCTGGCCACTGCCAGCCTCCCCTAGCTGCATCCGAGGCCTGTCCCTCCCTCCCTATCAACACTCCTGTTAAGCAGTGTCCTTTCCTCTTACCCGCCTACATGTCAGGCACTCTGCTGGAAGGCGCTTTGCAGCCTCTGCCTCTCTGCCCAGGCTGCGGGTCTCTTAACGTTTAATCTCCCTTAAACGCAAGGCCCAAGGGCAGAGGCGTCAGAGGAGAAGGCTTGGAGGGCGCAGGCAACGATGTGGCTTCGTTTTCCCCATGCGCGCCTCATCCTTGGGGTTCCCACTCTGTCTGTCCTGCCTGCTGCCACCTCCAGGCCAAGTCCACACTCCCTGTTTCTTGCTGGTCTTGGCAGGAATAAAACCTTCAGTTTGTTCTTTATAAGCTCAGCAGAGACCAACTAGAATTTTCAAAAACAGCCTTCTAAGGAATGGAAAGGAAACACAACACAAAAAGCCGGAGAGTCAAGCCATCCAGGGAAGGTTCCCTGTGCTTGGAATCCTGGAAGAAGCACAGACTGCCTTTCCTAAACCTCAAATGATCTCCTGATGGATGGGCCCAGCTTGACGGGCACTCTGCCTGGGTTTCCTCCCGCCTCTGTTTCCAGCAACCTGGACCCTCTCCACGGAGAGTGCAAACGGGCTTGCTGTGTAGCAAAAATAATCTGACCATATTATTCAAATTAGTTTACATACTTTTGCTGGTCTGTGTCTGTCTACATATTCCTCTCTCCTCCTACACAAACACACACACACACACACACACACACACACACACACACACACACTCCACCAAATACCTTGTTCCATGCCAGGACACAAGCCGACACTGCTTTTCCTGCCCCCACCCCAAAGTCCCATAGGACCTGGCTCCCGGCCACTCAACGAGCCCAGTGAATAGCAGATCCGGAGCTCAAAGCAGACCCTGAGCCTTCCCCATCAGGCCGGCAGCCCTGCCTGCCAAGCTTCCTCAGTGATTCAGGGCCAGGAATCCTCAGTTACTCAAAGTCCCGGCCCTTTTCAGACAGGAACCACATAGCTTCCCCAGCTCAGGGAGGGGTGGGACAATCCAGAGAGTAAGAGGCAGCCATCGCACCCCAAATGATGCAGCCCCCTCCCCCAGGACTCTCTGCTTAAGCAGGAAGGGTCCAGAGACCCCAGTGGTCCTGCCTGCATATTTCCTCTCTCCTCCTCACTGCCGCACCCAGGCTAGACTCCTGGTTCTCTCTCTAAGCCTGACCCCAGATGGGGGCATGTCTCTCTCACCTCCATTTAGCCAAACGAAGCTGGAAGTCATCAAAAGGAAGTTTACTAGGATATCAAGGCGCGTGGCAGAAACAGGGAGAAAGACAAGAAAAAGTCCTGACATGGAAAAGGGAAGTTTACTGGGCACAAGTTCGGGGCCCAGTGGGAGGAAAGCCAAGCACAGGGAGGGCCAAGTGCGGAGGGCTGAGGAGAAGCATAGCCTGCCCTGTGGCCAGCCTTTACTCCTCCTGCGGCTCCGAGCAGCTTTACTCAGTCACAGCATCCTCCCTGACACCGTTCTGTGGCGGCAGATCCCTGTCTGTCCCCGCTGGAGACCCTCGACTCACCCCAGTGCAGGCTTGGCCCCCGCTGGACTAGGGGTCTGTCAGGGATCCCCCAGCACCCAGCATAGCAGCTAGTGTGTGAGAGCAGTTCAAAGTCTTGCTGACTAACTGGTGTAGGTGGGGGCTTTGGAGTTGGATGAATCTAGGTTTGAACCTGGCTCTGCCTACTAATGGCTGAGTGGTCTTGGTTGAGTCCTTAGCCTCCTTAGCCTCCTGTCTGCGAATGAATCAGCAGAGGATGATTTTTTTCACAGGCTTGGTATGAGGCTTGGAGGAGAAAGGTCTTGTAAAGCACAGTGCCTGGCATGTAGCAGATGCTCAATGGACACTTCTCATTCATTAAGTATTGAGATAACCATGCCAGTCACCAGCAGGTAATTCCACTGGAATCACCACTTCTGAGCCTATTGACACATCTCAGCCAGTGATATAGGCCCTGCATCCTGCTGGGCAATCCCAATTCCATCCTGGCCTCCGCAGCCCATCAGTGGGGGACCCGCTCTTCACAGACGCTAGGCAGCCAGGCCTACCACCAGCAAGAGGAGGCCTCTGGCGCCTGCCTCCCAGGCCCCCCAGCCACCCATTCCATGCCAGCCATACCAGTCCAGGGGCACCACTCCACTGTTCTTCAGGGCCAGGAGCACCACGGAGGGTGGGGCCTCTACTGGCGCTGCCCCAAAATTGAAGTCAAGCTTCAGAGGGGTGAAGATGGGGGGGATCTGGCTTGTGCTGTGTGGAGCAGAGAAAGAGACTCAGAGACAGAGATGGGGACAGGGTGGGGCCCTCCCAGAGTGGGGCCCTCCCAGAGTGGGGCCCTCCCAGAGTGGCTGGCACTCATCTCCCTATAAATGGGAATTAGAGACTCTGGGACCCAGGAGCAGAGTGGGCTACCACTTCAGACTTCAAGCCAATCCCTGTTTCGTCCAGGCCCCTCCAGGGATGGGCAAGAATTTGGGGAGAGATAGAGAGCCACTTCTTGGACAGGGCCTGGTGCTGGGTGTGTGGGCAGAAAGCTCCAAAAACATCCCCAGGTAGGCCTTGCCCCTCCCCAGGCCCGGCTTACCTATGCCGGGTGGGCACCTTGTAGGTGAGCTCCAAGGGGGTGGGGTCACGTGTCAAGTAACTGTTGAGCGTGTCCAGGGAGAAGAGGTGCCACAGGTGCTGCCGGGTGATGCCCTCGGTGCTGCCCATGGAGCAGGCATCCAGGATGGAGAGTAAGGGGTACACGGCCGTCAGGAAAACTCGACACAGCTCCTGCTTCTCCCCAACCTTATTATCTGGGGGAAAGGGATGTGGAAGAGAGGGGTGAGCTCACCTCCCAGCTCCTCTGGGGCAGGGCGTGCGGGACCCCTGGGCAACCTGCCCCCAGACCCTTGTCAGGGGCAGCAGGTGTCTCCCAGGCTTCGGACGTTTCCAACAACAGCCAACCCTTGTCTCACCCTTCCGTGTACCAGGCACAGTCCTAAGTGCTTTGCACACACCGCTGTATTCAGTGTGAAACGTTACTCGTATTCAAACTAATTCTTACAAACAGCTTTGTTGAAACATTATTTATGTACCATAAAATTAACCCTTTTAATGCAGACAATTCAGTGTTCTTTGCATAGTCGGTGTCGTGCAACCATCACCTCTATTTCATCCTAGAACATTTTTATCACCACAAAAAGAAACCCAGTACCAAGTAGCTGTCACTCTCCATTCTCCACTCCCCGCTACCCCTGGAAACCCCTAATCTATTTTCTGTCTCTATAGATTTGCGCATTATGGATGTTCCATAGAAGTGGAATCATACACTCTGCAGCTTTTTGTGACCAGCTTCTTTCACTTGGCATATTTTCCAGGTTCATCCAAGTGGTAACCTGTATCAGTACTTCTTTCCCTTTCCTTGCCTGCATGCCATTATTACCCCCATTTTACAGATGTGCAAATTGAGGCACAGGGAGGTAAAACAATTTGCTAAGATTACATGGCTAATGAGCGCGGGGCCCAGGATCCATTCCCCAGTAGCTTGGCTCGAGTCCACACTCTGAGCCACTCTTCTGTGCTGTGCTGGTGCCTCCCAGCGGCCCCAGGGCAGGCTGGGAATAACTCCATTCTACAGAGAAGAAAGCTGAGGCCCAGGGAGGCTGGGGATTTGTCTAAGATCTCACAGTAAATCAACACAGCTCCAAACTCTTCATGTTGAGTCTTCTACAGCTCAGGCACCACATACACGGACACCCACACAGACAGAGGTGGTTGGTGTGAGGCACGCACACTAGACACCCGAATGTGCACCCTAGCACACTCTCATTCACTCTGCTAGCTCTGTCTGGAACCTCCAAATTCCCCCACCCAAGTCCTGCTCACACAGTTCTTCCCCTTCCCTTCAGGCACTGGCTCTCCATGCCAGGTGACCCAGGTACCTCTGCGGGAGAGGAGAGAGTAGCTGATGGTCCAGGAGTACTGGGACCGGTGGTTGGGACAGGCAGTCAAGCAGATGGTGTCCTGGGACCGGGGTGGCATGCTCCCCTCTGTGCGATCCAGTTGAAGAGCTGCTCAGGGATGAGCCAGGTGGAGTCAAGGGCAGAGAGGCCCTCGGTGTAGGCCAGAGAGGCCCTGCCTCTCATCCTGCTCCTTCCCAGATACCCTCCCTGGGGCCAGCAGAGCAGGCTTTGAGCCAGAAACTGGAAGGCAGAATCCCTCCTCCCAGACCAAGATGGAGGGGACCTATCCTTGTGTCACTGGCACCTGCAGCCTGTGAGGTAGGTGCCACTAGTTTACAGTTGAGGAAACTGAGGCTCAGAGAGGGCCAGCCCAATGCCACACATCTAGAAAGTGGAAGCACCAAATTTTAAGCCCTGCTCTGCGTGCCCCAAACCATGGTGTTAACCAGTGCCCTTCACTGCTCATCTCCGCAGCCCCAGCCCCAGCCGGGCCCAGTACCGAGGGGTTCGTTGTCAGTGCCCTCAGGGCTGCACTGCTCCAGGACCAGGTGATAATAGAGGGTACAGTGGCCTTCGTTCAGGAGCACAAGCGACCTGGACTGTTTGCTGTTCACCATCACATTCCCAAAATCCAGCTCCTTCTCCTTTGCCTGAGGGCCAGAGTCAGCCAGTGTGTGTGTGGGGGGGGGCGCATTCCTCCAGGCCCACCGCCCTGGCTTTCCCATCCCCCTGGCCTTAGAGAATCCCCAAGGAAGAGCAGGGCCAATTCCTCCAGGCCCACCGCCCTGGCTTTCCCATCCCTCTGGCCTTAGAGAATCCCCAAGGAAGAGCAGGTATAGGGGTGTGGGCCATGGGCCAGAGGGCTCCTATCCCCTGGCCTCTTGGACTCGGGCCCCCTGGCTTGTGCCCTGGCTCCCAGCTCCCCACACCAACCCACTCAGGTTCTCCCACTCACAGAAAGCCTGCTGGTGATGCCCATGCCCACCAGCCGTATCATGTAGTGGGTGGTGGTGGAGGGCTTAGCGTTCGGGGGCAGGCCGGCTTCCCAGACCCACACCCCCACTCGGAACAAGTACTTGGTCTCCTCCAGAGGGCTGAAGATCCATGTCAGCATCTGGGGTCACAGAGATGATCCCTGTGTGGGGGGGTCTTCCAGAACCCCCCGCCCAGGTCCCTGGCCGTCTGAAGTCCCACTGCAGGATATCAAGCTATGGGAACCCTTTCTGAGTATTTACCTCGTATCAGGCACTTTATGCACATCGTGTATTATCTCCCTAAGCCTCTCAATCCTAACTCCGGAGTTTGTGTGGTCTCTCATCTTGCTGATTACTACCCCTGGATTCTTACAGACACCATGTGTTGGTGGTTTGTGGCCCAAGTTTGGCCTTCCAGCTAGTCTATAAGGCCCTAGACCAGGATGAGGGTTTGCTAGTTCGTGTCCTAGCCTGTGACCCCCCACTCCAGACTGCCACTGTGACCTCTAGGAGTCCCCTTCCACAACTCCTTAATGATAGCCATCCATTAGGCCCCAAATCTACCTGCTGCAAACGACCTCCCCGTGATCTCACAGTTTGGGGGACTATAGAGGGAGAGTGGACTTGCCCCTGGGCAGTGGCATCAGAAACCCTGGTTTAAGTCTCAGCTCTGCACCTTCTGATTTATAATCTTAGCAAATGGATTTTTCTTCTCTAAGTCTCAATTCTTTTGTGCAAAATGAGAGGTGCTGATCATGGTAATCGCCCTTACTCATGAGGCTGGGGGAGGTGACTATGGATCGAATGGAAGGTGCACATAATAAGCCTGGCCTGATTAGGCATGAGTAAGAGATGATGGTGCGGGTGAGAACAGCGGGGACCCAGGGCAGGGCACTCACGAGGCTCTCGTTGGGTTGGATAAGTCCCCTGGCGGGCTGGACGGCCAGCATCTTCTGGTACTGCTGGGAGATCTTCCACTCAAACTCCAGGGGCAGACGCGTGGGGTTGCGGAAGGTGAAGAGGCTGGTGGAGGAGCAGCCTACCCGGGTGGGTTTGAAGAAGACACTTTTATAGGTGTCCAGCTTCAGCTGCAGTGGCTCCTCCCGGCTCTGCATGCTCACCTCCTGTGGCCAGAGGAGGAAGGGAAGTGCCCTGACCTCACCCTGCAGCCCAGGTGCCCCCAAATGTCCAGAAAGCCACAGTGGGTAGCTTTTCCACCTTGGAGAGGGCAACAAAAGGCCCTACACCAACCTGGGCACGGGCAGCTTGTATCGAAGGCAGAGCGGGTTGGGACTGACTGAGGAGATGGTTCTTGAACTCAAGGACTGAGACAGGTTGTGCAGACCATTTCATGGGCCAGACATGGGTCCACACCCTGGACCCTTTCCCTGGCCTGGCCCCAAACACCCCTCATCTCCAAAGGATGGTGGAGATAAGAGTCTTGCAGATAAGAGTCTTGTATTGCCCCTGCTCCTTCCTGTGGGACTTCTGTACCCCTTTTCTTGTCCCAGACCCCAAGAGGTGAACAGGCAGGGCCCTTAGGGTTGGGAAAGCTGTTCACAAATGTTGCATGGGGGGGGGTCTTCTCGCTGCCACGCCACTTCCTGGAGGAGGAGCAACCCCTTAGCTACTTTAAGTGAACTTTAAAGGCCAACTCCCAATAACGGCCCACTCCCAAGGGCCCTGCCTCCCTCCTACCTTGAGATACTGCGGGCAAAAGTTGAACTGCAAGTAGAAAGTGTGCTGCTTCCAAGAGTTGCCCTTGGGGTAGGTACAGATGAGGAATATCTGGTGGGCCCCAGGGGCCACAAGGCCTGAGGTGGGCCTCAGGGAGATTTCCGAGCTGCTTTTGGGGTCCAAGTTGAAGGTCATCAACATGGAGCCTTTGTTGATCAGGAGGAGGCTGCGGTAGGAGGGTTCGCTGGGAGACACTGCAGGAAATAGCTGTGGTGCAAGAGAAGAGAGACTCGCGCTCAGACCCACACGCCCTCACATTCTGACACACACACTCAGGGAAGTACATGCGGGCGCGGGTGGGGCCATGTCCAAGGAAATCCAAGAGGCCTGCACACAACCCAGTCAGTGCCCTGAAGCACGGAATGGCTTCAGGGCATCGACTGGGTTGTGTGGAGGCCACAGCTTAGCACCAAAAAATGCTTCTGTGTTCCAGGGGACCTACAGACAGGAAGATGGAGTGAACACAGGAACTGGCCCCAGGAAACTCAGGCCTCCAAGACCCCTCTTCAAGGTTAAGTAAGAGTTCTTTCGTTTTAGGGTGCCCTCACACCATCCTTTGGAGAACCCACTTTCAGAGATCCTGCTCCAAAAGCTCTGGGTAAGCAGTCCCTCCTAGGTGACTCTCCTGCAGGTGGCTGAGGGGAATCCACTTTGAAAAAGGGAAAGCCCCAGCAATCCCAGTTTGCAACACTCTTTAAGCATCTAGGGTATGGCCAGCACCAGGCTAAGAGGTAAGCAGGCCACAGAACGCAAGGCCCAAAGTCACTGGCTAGGGCGCCCCATCCAGCTGGGCGACAAGCACACCGTGTGAGGCAGCAGGATAGCAACACAGGCCCAGAGTATGCTAGACAGCAGTAAAGACCACACACCACTGGGAGGAACTGGCCAAAGGAAAGGGAAGACGGAGTCAGTGAGGAGAACTCTGCAGTCAGAGGGGTCTTTGGGAAGGGGCACCCTTGAGCAGAAGTGTAGCTGGTAGAGGGCAAGATTGCCTCCAAGTACATTCTCCAAAAGTGGTGCCTTACCAGCAGTATGAGGCATGAAGGTAGTGAAGACAAGTGAAAAGACCGATAACATCACTGACGCAGAAACCAGACTTGGCACTTGGCTGTCCAGCTCCAGAGTCTGTGCTTTCAAGCCCCATGTCACCCTGCTCCTCAGAGAGGAGAGGCCTGGGAATTGTGACTCCCCGTTGAAGAGGCTAATCCAAGGGGTCGGCTCTGTGAGCTTTCTCACCCAGGCCTGGGTCATCCCCAAGGGCAGGGGCTCAAGGTGTGGTGGTGGTACCTCTAACAGGTACTCAGTAAACAGGGGATAGACAAATAAAGGAGATGGAGAATTTAAAACCTGAGAAGGTCAGAGAGTATTCAGATGGATCAGGCAAGAGCCAGTGGTCCTAGCCCCGGACTCTCCCCAGTCCCAGTGATGTGGCCCAGGAGAGCGCCCTCGATTGGCTTAGAGCCCCAGGGCTGGTGGTGGGGAGATCAGGACAGCCAGGGAGGTTGCTGAGGCCATGAGAGAGGAAAGAGGTATCTGTACGCCACGGCAGAAGCCAGGCTCCCCTGTCCCACTTTCCACTGCTGCTGGGGCCACGCTCACCTTGGGGGTGTCCAGGGAATATTGGGGGATGTGGTGCTCCAAGGCAGCCTGATAGCTGTGGCCTTGTGCTCGGAGTGTCAGGCACCAGGACGGGCACAGGGTGCAGTCCTCCTCAATATTATTGAAGCTCTGCTGGACCTGCAGGAGGGCCGGACCCGTGGACAAGCTCAGGGTCCTGTATGCAATCCTGTAGGGCACCCCATTTCCCCCCTTGTATTACAGGAGTCCTGCATTGGGCACAGAAGGGAGGGGCTCCCTGGGAAGACAGTGCAGAAAACAACAGTCATAACAGCCCCTCTCGCTGTATGTGTGCCAGGCCCCACACTGAGCACTCTGCAAACATGCTCCTTAATCCTCACAGCAACCCGAAGACAGGGCATCGTGTAGGAACGTGACTGGAGCATCACTGGCTGAAAGAAATAGAATGCAAGCCACAAAGGCGAGCTGCAAACATAATTTTAAATGTCTAGGAGCCACATTAACAAAGTGAAACACGTAAAATTAATTTCAATAACGTTTTATTTTACCCAGTAGATCTACAATCTTATTTCAACATATAATTGATATATAAGAGATTTGTGAGATATTTTACACTCTTTTTGTGTTAAGTCTTCAAAATCCAGAGTGTCTCTCACCCTTACAGCACGTCTCAACCTGGACTGGCCACATTTCAAGTGCTCAGTGGTCACGTGCAGGCCGCCGTAACAGACAGCGCAGGGCTAGAGCATGGAACCTAAACATCTGATAGGCTCAGGCCTGGCCTCAGCCAAGGCAGGTGTCAACAGCCTCTTTCCTACAAACCTCCACATTCTCCCATTCACAAGATATTAGAAAGGAGGCAATTAAAGACTTGGCTTTGGAAAGACTTCTCAAAAGTTTGGATACAACTCTGTTTATAGGTTAAAAAAAACAAAAACAAAAACAACGAGGCTCACGACATTAAGAGACTTGCCGAAGGTCACATGGTAAGGGACTCTGATCTCAGCCACATCACTCTGCTCTTCTCTCGGACCCAGCACCCAGGCCACGAGGAAAGAACAGCAGGGTGGGCAGAGCTGAGAAGGGAGGGAAAGGGCAGGGCTGACTGAAGATGAATGACACGCATCTGGGACTGAGGCTGGGCTGAGGACAGCCTGTGCTCCAAGTTTCCCAGCCAGAGGAGGCTGTGCTAGAAGCCCCTCCCCACACACGCCTAATTACCCGCTGCCCCTGCCTGCTCCTGGCTCCTGTCCATGGCTCTTTTAGAGGAACAACGTCTTACTTCAAGGACTAGTAGAGAAGCCAGGAGCCCCGGGGAGCTACTCCCCATACACCAAACTTTCCCCAAAGGCTGACCCTAGCTGAGCTCTCCCTCCAGAGGGAAAGGATGAGCCCTACAGCACCCCTCTGGCACCCCCTCCTACCCCACCCTGCCATTCAGGCTCAGGGGCAGAGAACCCACCTTCCCTGTCCCTTCTGGCCTCACACACACACCTTATACACAGCAAAGGCTTCCAGCTCCACGGCGTAAAGGCAGTTGGGGTGAGGAGGCCGGAAGTGCAGGCGCATGGCCATGGACTTGAGCGGGGGCACATCGCAGGTTTCTGGAGTCACCCAGAAGGGGCAGCCAGACCTGCATGTCCAGACCACGGTGATCTTGCCCTTGGTGTGGTTCACCAGGCACACGGGAACAGGGTTAGGGTCCTCAGGACTGGGGCAGGCACCAAAGTCCACCTCCACGGGCTCTATGCTGACGGGTGGGGGGAAGATGGCCAAGTCGCTGGTGCCGTCGAAGAAGTACTCAGTCATGGGGGGGATGAGGGGATACTGCGGGGCTGGCATAGCCTCCAGGTCCTGTGTGGGGAGAGACGGGTGGGTGGGGGCCCAGCTGCCATTCCTCCTGCATGTCCCTTATCTGCATGTTCCTTTCTGGAAAAGGCTACAAGAGTTCCACACAGGTCACCCCCACAGGGCTCTGGGGACACAGGACTGCCCAAGAATTGCTAGAGAAAGAGGCATGAACCTGGGGGGTAGCCTGTCTGCGGGGGCCCAGCGGGGCCTATCGAACCTGCATGGGAATCATGAGGGCCCCGTTCTTATCCTGCTCCAGCTTCTTCTCACTCAGCATGAGGCCCAGGATGTCAGGGGGGTAGAGCGTCAGGCCCCGCACCAGGTGTGTGCGATACCAAGCCAGGTGCTGTGGCCTCAGGATGGCTGGCTTGGTGCTGTCCGAGTGGCAGGTCCCGATCAGGTCCAGGAACAGCGGGTCCTGTGACATTTGTCCGTGTGAGGCTAGATTTCAGTCCCCACTTGCTACCCTAGCCAGGTTCCAGTTGGTCAGGACACAATTTGTACAGCCTTGGGTTATACAGCCTGGGTTAAGGTGCTCACTTCAAGGCTCTTGGCTCTGTGTGCTGTGTGGGGTGAGGTCCCATTCCCTCCATCCCCAGTAAAAGCAGCAGAAAAATCCCTGGCCTGGAATAGTCAGGACAAGATTGGCACACCCACCTGACTCAGAGTGGACTTCATGTGCATCTGGCCATGCTGTGGCTCCAAAAGCCACTCTGGGGCCCTGGAGGAGATGATCCAAGCAGACAGCCCCAGAAGTTCCAGAATACAGGGAGTGAGCAGCCAGCATTGTCTTCACTCACCTGGTGGTGGATGAGACAGGCCACCCGCCGAAAATAGATGATGGGGTGAGTGGGCTGGAAGGTGCAGTGCAGGGTCATACGGGCCTTGCCCACCAGAGTCCCGAAGGTAGGTCTGATGCTGAAGACACTCTCCCGGCAGTCAATGGCAAACTGGAAGTAGGCCGTGCAGTCTGACTTGTTCTCAATCCACAGGGGCTGCTCTGAGTGCTCTCTGAGGCTGACCCAGCTGAAATCAATGCAGTTGTGCTGCAGGGATACATCAGGACCTGGGCAGAGATGGAGGCCCTGTAAGTGGGCCCTGCCACCTGGGTGGGGCTGGAGTATCAGCCTCCCTCCCCGAGGGTGTCTCAGAAAGGGTCCTACTGATGGGAGGTGGTGCCTTCTGGAGAGAGAATGCCATGCTGGAAAGGCCAGGAGCCCCAACAGCCTGAGCAGACCTCCAGGTCACCAAGGTTGAGGGTGGGAACATGATCTCCAGGTGTCTGCAAATGATTCCTCCCTGAGCCCACCAGGGGGCAGCAGACACCGAGGCTGAAGGGCAAGGGGGCGGCTGGCTCTTAGGAGTAAGCGAGGAGCATTTCCCAATCCTAAGCATGGGCTGCTCTTGTCCCAGGGAGGTGCAGCGTCCTGGGGTTGCCAGTACCTCTACAGAAACCAATGACTTTGAGCAGAGTTTGGGCGGCACAGCCGGACGGCATAATAGACAAGTAGTCCATAGTTCTGACGTCCAAGGTCTCCGGGTGGAAGAACACAGACACATATTTCTTCTCTCCTGGGGGCACGATGCCATAGGACGTGGGGCACGAAAAGGCCTGGTCTTTGGCTAGCATGTCTGAGGCTACTTCAATCCTGAAAGGGGCACTCACCTGTGGGGGCCAGGTGAGGATAGGAGGGGTCACATTACAGGGTGGGGAAGTCTGTCATTAATGAGGTGCCCAGCCAAGAGGTGAGGGCAGCTGGTGTCCAGCCTGTGTCCCACTTGTCAGCTTTGAGTGTGGGCGACACCCTCCACCAGGAGGAAGGAAGGGGATCGACCAGAGGGGTACCTTTGTCCCCTCAAATGTACCATAAAGGCTGTCCTGGGGTCAGGACAGTCCTAGGGTTGCTCTTGAGGTTGCTCAGAGAATACCCCAGTCCAGTCCCCAGCTGAGAGGAGAGGGGGACACCTGTCAACATATGTGTATCAAGAGACATGGGTTATGTGAGGCTTAGAGCCAAAAGGGTAGAGAGAAAGGGAGGAACTCTGTACGGGGGTGGGTTTCAGGAGCCCCCTGTTCTGTGTTTCTGAGTCCTGCCCCCACCCCCCACATGCACAGAACACATACCACCGACGGGTTATACAGCCTGATCTGCCTCTCAGCAGTGCAGCCCACAGCCACAGAACCAAAGTGCAGCACTTTCTGGGAGCCCTCAACATCCTGGTCCTCTGGGCGCTTCTGCCTGACGCTCACCAGCAGCTGGGCGCATTTGGCTGGGGCAGAGATGGGGGAGTCTTAGGGAGATACCCGCCAGAGCCTCTGTGGCCCAGCTAACAGCCCCTCAAAGAACATAAGTGTCCCAGAGAAACACTGGTCTGCAACACTAAGGAAGGCAAAGAAAAGGCAAAGCCTGCAGGGCTGGGGAGAGGGCCGGAAGCTGTGCTACTGTATGGGTCCCACTGGGGCCAGACCAGGGCGGAAGGTGGGACAGTAGGGCACACTGAAGCTTTTGAGACCCAGGAAGGTGCAGCAAATGGGCTCTGGGGCCAGGTGAGAGGTCGCGCCTCACCAGCAGCCTGCAATTGGATGCTGTTCTTCTGCTTGCTTCTCTCCCCGTACCAGCATGTGGCTTGAACATTGTAGATGACAGCCATAAGAGGCTGAAAAGTCACCTTGATCCGGCAAGCCTGGCCTGGCTCCAGCAGCCCCGAGGTGGGCAGCATCTGGAATGGGCTGGAGAACTCCCAGGTGAAGAAGGTGGGCAGGTCCCTGGAGAGCAGAGCAAGTCAGAGCCATTGGGCTCATTCTGCTCACTACCTCTGATTTAGAAAGGCAGAGATGCTGGGCAGCCCTTTTTACTCCCTCTACCTGCTTCCCCCACCAGCCAAGCTAGTCTCTCCTGCCCCCAGGTACCTTCATCACAGTTCTCACTCTCCCGACCTCAGCCTCAGCCACTCCCCTCACCCTACATTGTTCAGGGAGAACCAGGCCTCGGCCATGTCCCCGACGGCACACGTGGGCAACTGCAGGGATGGTGGGCAAGTCAGGTTATGGCCAGGCAGGGTGGCCCTCAGGTCCACACAGAACATCCCCTCCGCTTTCTCAAACCACAGTTGGTCCACGTACTCCTTCTGCAGCATGGGGGTGGAGATGGGGGCAGAGGCAGTTCACGATCAGTGGTACCTGGGTGGTACTCAAGAACCACACACCCCTGTCTTGGTCCCAGAGAACCTCTTTTGAGGGGAAGCATTTTGAGAACAGGAAGAGGCCAAGGAACCTGGCGCTTCTGATGGCCTGCAGAGTAGCACAGCCTTTCCCCATACAACCGGAAACCTCCTCTGTCTGTTGAGTTTGGGGTCTGAGCTTCCCCAGGGCTTCCCAAACTAAATTTTTTGCTACAGTTGGCAGGATGTGTGTATGGTGGGGGAGGTCATTGTGCCTGTGCCCTCACTGCCTTCTGCTTGTCCCTTACCTCCTCCAGAGGCCGGAAGATGATGGGGAGCGTGAGAGTTATGCCTGGGCTCAGGAGGATGGGCTGAGGGATGACCGTGAAGAAGAACTTGGTCTTGGGGGGCCTGCAGGGGAGAATCAGGAGACAAGCACTTCGGGGTCATAGCTCAGAAAACTAGACAGGGCAGAGCAACCAGAGAAGACCCTGGAAAACATAGTCCTTGGGACCATGGAGGGGGAAATACAGCGGCTCTATCACAGGAGCACTTGCCTCCCTCATCTGACTATTCCTCTAGCAGATCTTCACTCCAGGATGTCAGCGCATCGACCAAAAAGATGCAGGGGCAAAGGAGTAGCACTTGTACCTCTGATGCTCAGGGTGGTCACAGGGACAAGGATGAAGAAGGCGGCCCTGATTTAACTAAATCCCTGATCCATCACTTAGCTGGAGGAAACTAGGATTGGAACAGAGATGCCAGGGATGCTTTTCAAATCAGAGACCTTGACAGAGCTATAGAGTTTCAAGGGGGGTGGGGGGGTCAAAACTGCAAATACTGTAGCTGTTACAAACATTAATAAGACGATATTGTCAATAAGTTTATACCAATAAATGTTAAAGTTTAGATAAGTAAACACATTCCCAGGAAAGCATATCTTACCAAAACTGACTCAAGAATTATACAATAAATTTTATGGCCATTCAACCTAACGTCATTAAAGAAACTGGATAAGTATTTAAAAATCTTCCCTAAAGAAAATGCTAAGCCAGATGGCTTCACAGTAAGTCCTACTGAGCATCTGATAAAAAATAATTCCAGCCTTATCTTCCCAATAATATAAAACAAGGAAACACTCCCCAACATATTCTATCAATGCATCATAATGTTGTTACCAAAATCTGACCACGGCAGGAGAAGAATGAAAAATTACAGACCGATATCACCTATCAGCAAAATATTAGCCAAGAGAATTTAGCAATGTATAGGAGGAATATTCAATCATGATCAAGTTGGGCTTACTCTAAATATACACAGTTGGTTTAACATAGAAAATCAATGGAACCCACCATATTAACAAATTAAAAGAGAAAAAAATCAAATGATCATATAAATTTTGAAAATGTGAAATAAACTTCAACATAAGCTTATGAGAAAAACTCTCAGCAACCTAGAAATAGAAGGGAAGTTCCTTAACCTGATGAAATCTAAGGAAAAAAATAACTGCAGGAAAGATCCAAATGAATGGTGAAACACTGGAATCTTTCACTTTGAGATCATAAACGAGGATGCCTTCTATACTCACCCCTGTTCGACACTTTGCTATCCAACAGCTCAGCAAAGAAAGACAAAGAAAGAGCAGTGTCATTTCCAGGTAAAATGTGAATGTGTACATAGGGAAAAAAATTAACGATAAAATTATTGGGATTAATGAGAGGATTTTTTAAGGTCGTTGGACACAACAAGATTATGCACAAAACACCCATACTAAAAAAAAAAAAAAAAAAAGACTTTCTAAAAATCTAGGAACAAACAGAAAATGAAACAACTTTAAAAAATATCATATACAATATCGCCAAAAATATTAAATACTTAGAAATAAAGCTAACTAAAGATGTGTACGACATCTATGGAGAAAATTTTACACTTTATTGAGAGACATGAAAAAAGGCCTAAATAAAGATACACCATATCCATGAAAGATTCATTTTGTAATGATGTCAGTTCTCCTCAAATTCATCTATAGGTTAAATTAAATTGCAGCCAAAATCTCAAAAAGCTTTTAGGTATATGTGTGATAAGCTGATTTGAAGATTTCTATGAAAATTCAAAGGGCCAAGAATAGCCAAGACAATTTTGAATAAGACTGAAGTTGGAAGACTTACACTTCCAGAAATCAAGATTTACTGTAAGCTCTAATTAATTCAGGATGATATTGGCTCAGAGAGAGACAAGTAGATCAAAGGAACAGAACAGAGAGTTCAGAACTGGATCTGTATATATATGGACACTTGACATACATCAGTGGTGGGAAAGATTATCAGAGAAAGTATGAACTTTTCGATAAACAGAATTGGTTGAGGAAAAAAATGTCATTGGATCCCGATTTCGAACCATTCACAAAGATCAAGTCCATGTAGATAAAAAACAAATATGAAAGACAAAACTATAAAGACAACTGTAGGAGACTATCTTCATAACCTAGGTGGGTAAAGAAGGATTTCTTAAGCAAGATACAAAAAAGCATTGACCATAAAAGAAAAAGATTGATACGTTCGATTCCTTCGAAATTAAAACTTCTATTCTTTAAAAGACGAGATAGAGAAAAAGGCAAGTCACAAGGTGGGAGAAGATATTCATAACAAATAACTGACAAAGAGGATTAATATCCATGATAAAAACTTCTATTAAAAAAAAAGAGACAATCTAATAGAAAAATGGGCACTGTCTTGAACAGGAATTTCATAAATGAAATGGTCAGTAACATGAAAAGACATTCAACTGTATTAGCAATCAGGGAAATAAAAATTAAATTAAAGCCACGACAAATTACCATTATTGGCAAAAAACTTTAATCCTGATAACAGCAATGGTTGGTAAAGATGTGGAGGCATGGGCTGGTGGGAATAATAATGGTACAGGTAACTTTGGAAAATTGGTAGGCTTTATCTACAAAAAGTAAACATACACATGTCCAAAGTTACAGCAAGTCTACTTCTATATATCTACCCTAGAAAAACTCTTGTGCTTGGGCAATGAGGGATGTATACATGAATGTCGATAATGGTCCCAAACTAGAAACAACCCAAACAGCCCTCAACAGAAGAATGGATGAATACATTGTATATGCACACATTGGAATATTATACTGAAATGAAAAAGGATAAACTGTAACTGCATATGAATGAGTCTTACAAACATAATTGAGCAAAATAAAAGAGTTAAAAAGTATACCTACCGTGTTATTCCATCTATATAAAGTTTATAAAAAGGTAAAATTAAACCATGTCATTTAAGGATGCAAACATAAATAGTAAATCCATTTGAGAAAAGCGAGGAAATCATGGTAATGGTTCCCTTTATGGGTTGGGAAGGTGTTCCAATGAGGGGGACATATAATGGGAGAAAATGAGCTTCAGACACTTATTATTACATTAAATAATCTAATCACAGAGGTTTCACTTTCAAAAATGCTTCAGACTGCATGTTTTATGTACTTTTCTGATTTTATAAGACATTTAAAAAGTTTTTTAAGAGTGCCTGCTTTGGGGGTACGGGGGCTCAGGGACTGGGTCTCTGATCCCTTGTACTCGTACCTGTACTTCATCTTCTGGATTTTCAAGGATAGGTTTTTCAGAACCAGGTTCTTGGTGATCTCTGTCCCTAGCTTCCAGCCTTTCCACTGAAGCTCTTCGGCCACCTCAATGTCCCAGATGACCCTTTTCTTCACTTTCTTCTGCTTCTTCGGGAAGCACACCTGAATGTCCATGGGGCTGGCTGGCTGTTCAGTTGGCGGGGAGAAGGAAGGATGCATTATTGGAGTAGGATTCAAAGACCCAGAGAAAGGGCAAAGATCTCCCCACTTCCAGAAAGTAACGAATTATGTCACAGCCCCCACCGGCCCTGGGGGATGATCTAAAGCAAGAAGGTGAAGGGAAGGCAGGCTCCGGAGTCAGATAGTACCTCCTCCAAGATCACTGGAATGGCTTCCCTGTGACCCTGCCCCTGAAGCCTGCCCTGGGTCACCTCATCTGGCCATTCTGTTCGGCACACTTAGCAGTCTTAGCCGGCCTGTTCTGTGCCTCAGCGCACCCTCAGAGGTTGCCTCCTCTTCCTCTTCCTCCCCATCCTGCCCTTTCACTACAGAAGCCTCTCCTAGCTGGAGCGGTCTCTCCCAGGCCCTTCTCCAGACCACAGGAATTCTCCACCATTCCCCCTCCCAGCCCTCAACTGGCTGGTGGAGCAGAGGAAGGAGCCAATTTGCCTGCGACCAACCCCCACCCCACGTGCTGACTTTAGGGCCGCTCCTGATGATGCCAGAGGTGCCATGTGCCAACGCTTCCCATCTATAATGGAAAATCCTTTCATCGGCTGATCCCTCACTCCTATCTATTTGAGAACGGAGGGGAACAGAAAACCCCCTGGGGTGCGAGGTGGAGGGAAGATGAATCAGGTACCTCTTCCTACCAATCACTGCTATGAAGGCCCAACTCACTGCCATTTTATTTTATCTTTGACCAAGTGTTGGTTTTATATTGTTACATAAGAATATATTCATCTGTTCAACAAATATTTGTTGATTACCTATTAGGCATCAGACACTGAGCAAAGTGCCAAGACTACAATAGTGAACAAGGATGACAAATCCCTCCTCTCTTGGAGCTTACCCTCTCAGTTTCAATATTTACAGAGAGTGTCAGATGGCTAGTGTAGTATTTTCTTTCCCAATTTGCTCATGGAGAAAAGGTGACATGAGTGAGCAAGGGTAATTTATTACAAATATCAGTTGGTGTATAAGTCAAGTCCAATCAGAAAAACAGAAGCCACTCTGAGTGTTTAAAAGCAGGAACGTAATGCATAAACAGGGGATAGTGAAGTAACCCTGAAGTTAGCAACATCAAGAAGCTGCTACCACACCTAGGTTAGGGGAGGTGGAGGGTTCTCAAAGCCCAGAGGCCTGTCTGGCGGGGATCGGAGCCACAGGGAGACATGACTGCTGATGGAGACACCATCAAAAACAGAGAGAAAGGAAAAGAAATATCCTGGCTCCTCCCCTCCTCCCACTTTCCAATCTCCTGCCAACTCAGAGCAGAGCAGGGAAGGGCAGTAAGTAAATCTGAGGCAAACAGGCTGGGAATGGCACAAATGGAGGAGTGAGATGATCTCCGGTCCACAGGGAGGCAAGTGCAACCACCATCACATCTAAGGAGATGCAAGACTTCACAAACACAGACACGCACACGCTGCAACAGACACAAAGCTATACCCCACTGTCACACTCCTAGACCACTGCCCTCCTCCCTCCCCCTTCCCCCTCCCTGCGCTGTCACATAGGGAGAACCCTGAGAGCCGCAAAAAGTAAGTAACATCCATATATTGGTCAAACAAAGTCACAGGAGTCACGACAAAAAGAGCTTAGGGAAAAGAGCACTCGTGGCTACTCTATTAGCCTCCAACTGGCTTCTTCCAAGAGTTCTCTCACCCCCTCTCCTCCCAACCCTAGTCATGCTCACTGCTCCCACCACTTCAGTCGGCTTGGTGTTCAATCTCTGCAGGGTCTAATGCTGGGGTTTAGACAGGAGAGTCAGTTCCTTTTAGATTCCTATCCACCCCCTATCTTGCTAACCCTCCCCCGACCCTGGCCCTGCTGCACCCTGCCCCACCTGCCCTGGACATGTCCTCACACAGGCACTGGAGTTACTGCTGCTGCAAGCACTCAGGGCTGCACTGCTGCCAGTGACAGTGGGAATGGCCACTGTGCTGGCACTCAGGCATGATCCAGAGGTCATGATGCAGTCCTTCATGTCTCTAGTCCTTGTGATAGGGATCGACGTTGCCTGGGTGAGCATCAGGTGCCTGGAACACAATTCCAAGGGAAGCACTCTGGCTAAGCCAGAGTCTCTGCCAGTTTGGAGCTGAGGAGAGACAGAGGGACATGAAAAAGAGGAATAGACTCGTCATGGCCATCATTATCACAGAGGAGTGACTTCTTACCAGCTCTGGCAATAGATGTGAGGTAGTGCCATGAGGAACAAGCCTGAACACAAGAGACAGGGCTTTGCTTGGGAGCCTAGAGACTCACCATTCAGGAAAGGCACTTGGAAGAGGGACCCAGCCCTCCATGGACACACTTGGCATTTCTCAGCAAGCCCTCAGTGAGAGTTATTGAAGCACATGCATTACCTTTATCTGGCTTTTACTCTCTATTTTTTTCCTTTGAATGTGTCTTGCCTCCTGTAAGAAGAGGAATAAGCATCAAAGAAGCAGCAAATAACACTGAAGAGCTGTTGGTCAGGGTTTCTTCTATCAGTACACAATCTGTAGTCCAGGTTTAAAGTAAGCATTCACTGAAATAATGACTCAATTCAAGGATAAATGATTCAACTTCTAAAATAGGGATCCATGGATGAACTGAAGCTGGAAGTTATACACAAATATATATGCAAATGTTACAGGCAAATTATATGCAAAATGTCATGTGTATGGACATGTGCTCTTTTCCACAGCTTTCCCCAAATGCTCAGAAGGGTGCTTGGCCCTGCTCTAGGGTCCCAGTTGGCTTTGGCCCCGTCTCCTCAAATCCCTTCTTCCTTTAGCAGACTTCCTTCACCACATACACCCAAGTGTGGCTACCATATTGGATGGCATCAATTTGATACCTTTTTGGAACATATGTACATTTTGCAGACTACTCAGTATCCTTTCCCATCTCTTCAAATAACAATCTCAAAATTAATAACAACTTTTATTGGCATTTATTTAGAACTTACCATATGCCAGGCAATGTTGTAAGGTCTTCACATGTACTTTAATTCTTACAACAGTTTATTAGATGTGAATTGCCTTTCATTTGGCCTAAAATTATTTCTTTTCAGGTTTGGGGGTTATTATAACACATTATGCTTCTCACCCTTTAGAAATATACACACTTCCATCGGACACTCTCCCATGCCCTCCCCACCACCCACACAGAGCAAAAGATTCTGCTGATTCAGTTTTTTCTAACTGGTAACAACTCCAAACCCTCTGGAGGGGATTATCTTAGATTCATTCATCCATTCATTCATTCATTCACAAAGCATTAACTAAGTGCCTGTTAAGCACAAGACAAGACAGCTAAGGATCCTACCTTTAATTGTGAAGTATAGGTTCAAATGGAATCAAAGAAATGCAGGCTGAGGAGACAAGAGAAGAAGGTTCCATTACTTTTCTGCTCCTGGATGGCCTTGTAGTCCTGCCCTGACTCATTAATGCCGGTGACTTCAGGGGATTCTACAGATGGCCCCCGACTCGGGGCTCTGAAAGTATCCAGTCAACAGCTGAAACTTCCCAGCGAGTGCATAGAAGAGATGAGAGGATGGGGGAGAAAGCTGGTCCCGGCCAGGTCTTAGGGCTTAAGGGAGTGAGCACTGGCTCTGAAGCTAGGAAAGCTGGGTTTCAGCATCTGCTTAGATTCTTTTGAGCTGGGCAAATTTATCCAAATCCCCCAGCCTCAGTCTCCTTGCCTGTAAAATGAGGGTTATGCAGTTTCACAAAGTCGAAGTGAAACTCAAATGAATAGAGGATGTGAAAAAGCCCTAGACAAACCTATATTACTATAATTAACAATCTGCTTCCACACTAGCCCGCACTACTCTTCCAGAAGATTCACACGTTTGCAGTCATTATGAACACACAGGGCAAGGAGGTGGTGCTTTTTAATCCAATTTTCTAATCTCGAAGACCTTAAAAAACACGTTTTCAGCTTCCTTTATTTGACTAATTTCCAACCTAAAAATTTCTAAGATGACCAGTGGAAAAAACGGCGCGCCGTCTAAATTTACTTAGAGCTGTTCCTCCTTTCTCTTCGGTATCCCCAGTGTGACTGATCTCGCGCAAGTCGCAGTACCACGGGACTCGGTGAAGGACGTGAAGGGGATCCCTGGCCATTTCCTGGAGAAGGCGGACTCCCGGGGCAGATACCTTCCCTGGCCCCTCGCGCCGCTCCCTGGGTCTCCGAGATCAACGATCAAAACTCACACCACCGCCATGTTGTCGTCTCCATAGATACAGGACGCACAGGGCACGGCGTCTCTTGGTATCCCAGGGCAAACGACGGCAGCCCGAATGAGTCATGTTTCAGAGAACGCGAAACTTTAATCCTTACCCTCA